CTTACTCTGGTTTTCACTTTGTTTACTGTTTGAAGGTCTATTTATGCTGGATGCAGACTTAGCTAATTGGTCTTAACTGTTGCATAGTATTCCATGGTGTACATAGATTCCCCATAGCAATGGGTATCTAGGCTACTGTAAATAATAGTATCAGAGCAGTCTTGCAGTATCCAATACGAGCATGTTTTAGAATTTAGAATGAATGGATGTATCACTTAACACCCCACAAGCACGGCATTTCTGTACTGCCCCAATACTTAGTCTACTTTTTGCCATTTAATACTAATGTCTCAGTCTAACTTATGTAAGGCACTAATGAGCTGGAGCATTTCTTCATGTTTCAGTTACTTGCTTCCCTTCTGTGTGTTGTTTCCTGTAGAAACTAGAAATTATATATGATTATGATAATCATAAACTTCATATCTAGACACAGTTGCACAATCCCTGGTTGGTTTTGAGCCATAAGAATATCATCTGAGTATCATCTATTAAATTTGTGTTGTTCTTTATTGAATACAAATGCTTGGATTTCATGTAGTCAAATCTATCACTGTTAGTTTTAATATGTTTTCCTTATTAGTGCTTCTCGGACTTAATGTTGCCGGGTTGTCTCCTAGATTTCTTTCTTTAGCTTTATGGATTTACTTTTCCTATTACATTTAATGTATGTGGAACCCTTCCTTCCTTTCCTTCATTTCTATCCTCCCTCCCTTCTTTTATTTCCTGGGCTGGGGGACCAAATCTAGGACCTTGTGTATCATGCTAAGCAAGCCCTCTACAGCTGGGATATTCTCAATCTCCTGTTGTAATTTTGACTGACATTGTTTAACTTTTAGGCTAATTTAGCAAGACCTGGCATCTCTCTCTCTCCTCTCTCTCTCTCTCTCTCTCTCTCTCTCTCTCTCTCTCTCTGTCATGTGCACACATGTCTCTCCACTTATGAGCATGAAAAAAAAAAACATAGGCTTTTTTTGTTTTTAAGCTAAGACATTTTTAAGGATAATAATATAGTTTCTCAAACTTTAAAAAGGGAAACTGGCTTGGTAGAACACATGTTATAGCCTCAGATATTGGGGAGGCTAAGATAGGATTGCTTTATTATTACTCTTTTTTATTTCTTTAAAAAATATTTTTGAGATGTCGTTCATTTTGTAGCACTGCCTGACATGGAGCTCCCTATGTAGATTAGGCTGGCCTTGAATTTGCAGAGATCTGCCTGCATCACTGCTTCCTTAGTGTTGGGATTAAATGCAGATGCCAAAACACCTAGGTTTTCCTTCTTTCCTTCCTTCCTCCCTTCCTCCCTCCCTCCCTCCCTCCCTCCCTCGCTTCCTTCCTTTCTTTCTACGAAGGCCCAGAACTCATAAGAGATACACCCACCTCTAATTCCAGAGTACTGTGATTATAGATGTGCGTCACTGCACCCAGCTAAGTATTTTTTTTCTTAAATTTTTACTGTATATTTGTGTGTGAATGGTGTGTATGTGTGGAGGTCAAAGGACAACTTTGTGGAGTCTCTTCTCTCCTTCCCCCTTTATGTGGAGTCGAGTGATCATTTCAGGTAGCTAAGCTACGTGACAAGTGACTTTATCCACTGAGCCATCGTGCTGGCCTAGTAGGATCTCTTGAACATAAGATTTTAAGGCCAGCTTGGATAACATAGTGAGAGCCTATCTCAATCAATCAAAAATGGGGAGATCACACTTTGTGATTCTAGGGGTAATTATTATCTAAAATGTTCTACTTAAAGGCTATAGAGTATGCTACAGTTACTCCCTACCTTGCTGCTACTTATCTTTTCTCATTGTCTTAATTAATGCTGAACAGTGACTAGTGGCTTTACTGGAGTGAATTTGATTTAGTTTGGTTAACCCAAAAAACCTTCAGTGCTGAAAACTCAATAAATAGACTATCAAAAGATATCAAAGATATCAAAACTCACTAAGCATGGTGGCATATGCCTGCAATCCCAGCAACTGGAGAAGTAGAAGCAAAGGATCAGGAATTGATGGCCACCCTCTGCTACATAGCCAGTAGCCTTTTTTTTTTTTTTTTTTTTTGACCATATAAATTGCTTTTTTTTTTTGTTTTTTGGTTTTTGTTTGTTTCTTTGTTTGTTTTCGAGACAGGATTTTTCCGTGTAGCTTTGGAGCCTATCCTGGCACTTGCTCTGGAGACCAGGCTAGCCTCAAACTCAGAGATCTGCCTGCCTCTGCCTCCCGAGTGCTGGGATTAAAGGCGTGCGCCACCAACACCCGGCTATAAATTGCTTTTTAATTTAATTTTTTTTTGGTCAGGGCTTTGTATTTTGCCTTTTTAATTTTCTTCTTTTTTTTCCAACTTTTTTTTTATTTGAATTAGAAACAGGATTGTTTTACATGACAGTTCCAGTTCCCTTCTCCCACCCGTCCTCCCCTACCACCAACCCCCCAACTAAAGCCTTATCTGTCACATATCTTTTCTGCTCCCCCTGGATGGTGAGGCCTTCCATAGGGTATCATCAGTGTCTATTGTATCCTTTGGGATAAAGCCTAGGCCCACCCCCATGTGTCTTGTTTCAGGGAGTATTCCTCTATATGGAATGGGCTCCCAAAGTCCACACCTATGCTAGGGATAAATACTGGACTTCTACAGGAGGTCCAGGTTCTCTAACCAGAATAATATCACACATGTACAGTTCTTGTCTATTTATAATACATTTATATACATTTCCTTATTGATCTTTGCACCATCTTTAGGATGTTATGTCCACTATAGGGAAGAAGTATAGGGGGTCTCAAGTCACAGGTGAGTTGTTCAGGGTTTCACAGCCTCGGCTTCTCTACAGCCTCAACTTCTCTTATGAAAAGTGAAAGTTGTACGCTAGGGATACAGTGTTATTGGTAGAGTGCTTGCCTGATGAGCGAAGCCTTACATTCAGTATTCAGTACTAAGCACCACAGATATCCACCTGCTTCAGTCTTTAAAGTATTGTCATTGAAGGCATGTGCCACTACACCCAACACATAGCCTTTGAGCAAGATCAAATATAGGATGTTAAGCATAAATTCCATGTGGTTATATATCTTTACATGCTATTGAGTGTAGAGGTGGTTAACATAGTTAGCTGAGGGGGCATCTAGAGTTAAATTTACTTGGTTTTAACTGTATTGCTTTTTGGGGGGTGTTGTTACTTTGGAAATCAGGTTTGGATGGGAGAGAGGGGCACTGTTTGAGTTTGAGGCTCCATTCATTCAGTTTCAGTATGGTTTATCTGAGTACCTTAGGCCTGCAGCTTATAATATATAGTAGACAAAAGCTGTAAGTTCATGATCTTGCAACTCTTTCTGTCATGTGGTCCACACTTTCTTGCCCCGTGCTACTGTTTTGCACCAAGTGCACCCAGATGTGAAACTTAGTGCCTCTGATTTTCAGAAAGGCTTTATTCACACAGGGCATTGTGGATTTGTATACCTAACTAAAGAAAGGGAGCAGAATAGAGGTGGAGAGAGCCTCGCTTTGCATTAATGCAGACAACTTTCAGCTGTCCTTGGCCTGAGCTCTTCACCCCCACCCAATCCCAGCTTTGCCCTATTGTACTAGCTCTTCTTTTCTTCTCTGCCCCTCTCATCATTCTTCTCTCAGTTCCTTTTAGAGATAAAACAACAAATTCTTCCCCTTGTAGAATGCCGAGCAATTTCCCTTTCTTGACAGCCATTCTGGGATCTTGACAGCCATTCTTCAGGGAACCACCCACTCTAAGGGGACTGGACCTGAGAGGTTGGGGCCCCATATCAAGGGTGCATATTTTTCTCAAAGTTTCTTTCACAAGGAATTCTTGTGTTCACTGTTAGGCTGATAAAATGGGGGAATTTGCCATCTTGTTACATAGCAACTAATACACCAATCAAGTTTTATTAAATCCTCAATGAATTTTCAGAAGTCTAAAAAAATGATTACATGTGTAATTTATTGAACTCATAAACTCTAATTATCTTTGCTTATAATATCCTTGTGTATAGAATATGTTGCTTTTAAGGATACTTGCTGCTTACCTATTTGTCATAAACCCAGTTAACATAAAGGAGTTGTCTCACACACACACTTAACCATTATGTATTTCACTTATGCATAAGTAAGTTTAGCTTTTGATACTCCAGTATTTTTGTTAGGGTGATTTTTCATTTCTGACAGTTCCAAATTATGTAAAGAAAATGTGTATTCTTTACAGAACTCCATTTTTTTGAAGAAAGCTTTTATTTTATTTTTTTATATTTACTTATTTAGTTAGGTTATTTGGAGATAGAGTTTCTCTATGTAGCCCTGGCTGTCCTAGAACTCACTCTGTAGACCAGGCTGGCCTCCAACTCAGAGATTTACCTGTCTTTGCCTCCCAGGTACTAGAATTAAAATTTGTGGGCCTCCACCACCTGACCAGAAGAAAACCTTTAATGCTTGCATTTATGGCTTATTGTCTCTGTAAATGTCTGAATCTTTGGTTGCTCTTACCTGAAACATGGGTTGTATTTTTTTTTCTATTTTTTAAAGTATCAATGTCAAAAAGTTGTAGGGATTTCGCTGTGTTGTAATATATTAATCCTTTTGTAAATGAAGGTTTATCTCCTGCCTGCCAGTTTCCGAATAAACACTCAAAGGCTTAATGTTAATTATAATTGTTTGACCAATAGCTCAGGCATATCACTGACTAGTTCTCACAATTAAGCCATTTAGTCTATATTTTACCATGATGCTTGAGGCTTGATACCTCACATCTTGCTTCTCCATCGACTCCATGGCGTCACCCTGACTCCGCCTTCTTTCTCTCCATATCTTTGTATTTCCTGCCTGGCTCTATTCTGCCTGGCCATTGGCAAATCAGCTTTATTTATCAACCAGTAAAAGCAACACATATTTGCAGCATACAGAAGAACATCCCACATCATCTTTTTATGAATTTATAAATGAAATTGCTTTTTTCTTGCTACGCATTAGCTCGGGCTCACAGATTGTTTTCCTTACAGGTAGCTGAGAAGAGGAAAGCCCAGCCAATTTATGTGGTAATATGGAAGAAAATGGACAAAGACTGTTTAATGGGTAAGGACCAAAGCTGTAGTAAGATCTTATTAATGAAAATCAGTCCTGATGGCATGACCAGTCTGTCTTACAGTCCTGTCAGGGGAGTGGTTAATTATGATCTGTATTTTGGTGAAGTTCTAAACTTCCGATCCCAGTGTCCATCTTAACCTTTCACTTTTTTAATAGTTAAAGGTAAAATGGACCTTGAAACCAGAAAGAGTACTGAAACCAGGCTTAAAGTTGATTGGTGGTTGACTAGAGACTGCGCTTGCCATGGCCTGTCAAGAGTAATACCCACCCTTTTCCTCCAAATACTGCCAGCTTATGTGACATCAGGCTCCATACTATGGGGGTCTTGTTCACTTGTGTAACTGTAGATGTGTGTCAGGCAGCAATCAAATATAATTTCAAAAGCTCATATATTTTTACTGCCTAGAACTCAAATATTCTAGATAACCAAAACTGTCCATGAATGTTAAGTCCTTCGCAGAGTCTAGAGGTTTATACAGCATTCATTGGGCAGCCTTCTTCTCTGTCTAGTCCAGTGGGTCCCAACCTTCCTAATGCTTCAACCCTTCAATACAGTTCCTCATGTTGTGCTGACCCCCAACCAGAAAATTACTTTTGTAACTTACTTTGTAACTGTAATTTTGTTACTGTTACAAACTATAATGTAAATATCTGATATGTGACTCCTGTGAAAGGATTGAGACCCACAGGTTAAGACCATTGGTTGAAAATAGGAGCTACTTTGATACCAGACTACTTTGGGACAGTTGCTATTAGCCTGCTTGGGTGAGTTGATCTCTGAGCTTCAGTTCCCTAGCTCAAAGGGAGAGACATATGTTGATGCTGAGGGTTGATTAGTCCATATGAAAAATGTGCAGAGTGCCTGGAACCGTGTCAGTGCTTGGTGAATATCATCTGCAGGTGTCAGGTGCTATCCAAGTTAGCATGTTTATGCACACACGGATCTCTCTGTGATGTTACACTCTGGGAGTTAACCTGTCTTAGGGAAGGCCAGTGCTGAGGGCAAAGGATTCTTTATGAGAGTTTTCATCTTAGCCTATTTCATTTCTCTTAGAGTGTGTTGCTAAACTGAGAAGAGAGTTGTACACTTCCAGCTCTTACTGCGCATCTTATAGTGTATATGAATAAACAACCATTTTCAGGCTGTATATAATAGCTGCACCTCAGCTTGTATCAGCAGCTGGTAGCACGCACCAGTAGTCTAGCACTCGGGAGACAGAAGGATCATGAATTTCTGGTCAAGCCTCTGCTCCATAGTAACATCCTGCCCACCTGTCACCCCTAATTCTGTCTGTGCAGGATGCATTGTTTTGTTTTTGTTTTGTTTTTCTTTCTAGATAGGGATGCCAAATTTCCTGTTCAGAGTCTGAGTAACTATAACTAAATGTTTTTTTTCTTGTCTTTAGGAAGGAAAATTTGCAATTGTGTGTTACGGGATAGGTTAGGATTCTGTGGGGTACTGAGGCTTGAACTCAGGGCCTTGTTCTCATATGCATACAATGTAAATATTCTATTACAGAGCTACACCCCTGGCTTTTTCCTCCCTTGGTCTTTTTTTTTTTTTTTTTTTTTTTTTTTTTTTTTTTTTTTTGTCTTTTGGAGGCAGGGTTTATCTTTATAGCCCTGGCTGTTCTGGAACTCACTCTGTAGACCAAGCTGGCCTAGAACTCAGAGATCCACCTGCCTCTGCCTCCCAAGGCTAGGGTATGCTTCTACCACTACCCAGCGGTATGTGGGTTTTGTCCCGGGCTCTGTCTTATCAGAGCGAAGCATGGGTTTTTCTTTCTTCAAATGGCAATTCCCTTAACGTTAACGAATGAAGGAAATTAATGTTAAAGGATAAAAAGTAAGTAATATTTAAAGAATCAGCTGTGTGTGGAGTGGAGGCGGCACACGCCTTTTATCCCAGCACTTGGGCGACAGAGGCAGGCAGATCTCTGTGAGTGAGTTCCAGGACAGCCAGGACTGTTTCAGAGAAACCCTGTCTCAAAAAACAGAACAAAACAACAATCAGCTATGCTGATAAAATGTCTTGGCTTTGTTTTAAGTGGCACTACATGCATTGGTGGTTCCTTTTTCTTTTCTCATCCCACCCCCATCCATCGTTTGAGCAACTTTTCTAAATGTTGATCCAAGTATGGCTTTAGCATTTCTACCCCTTAACAGTGTCTTGCAGGAATTCTGGGAACTGCTCAGACTTTTCAGAAGTTGATGAAGTTGGCATTATCTTAATAACAATATTAAATCATGGTTTGTTTTCAATCCTTATCCATTCCTATGCATCAGCGCGTTTTCAGAAGCCTCCAAACTACGAAACTGACTGGATATAGAAGTAGATGAAGAGCCGGGTGGAGGTGGCACACGCCTTTAGTCCTAGCACTCAGGAGGCAGAGGCAGGTGGAGCTCTGTGAGACCAGCCTGGTCTACAAGAGCTAGTTTCAGGACAGCCTCCAAAGCCACAGGGAAACCATGGAATTTGGGGTTGGAGGGATGGTTCATTGGTTAGAACAATTACCCCTCCCCCTCATCAGAGGACGTGGGTTTGGTTCCCAGCATCTACATGGTAGCTCACAGCCATCTGGAACTCCAGTTGTAGGGGATCCAGTGCCCTCTTGTGGATTCTGTGGGCTCCTGTACATAGGTGCATGTAAACACACTCAGGCATACAGACACACAAAAGTAAATAAATCTTCTTTTTTAAAAGTACAAAAAAATAGTGCCAGGCATTGGTGGTGCACACCTTTAATCCAAGTACTCGGGAGGCAGAGGCAGGCGGAGCTCTGTGAGACCAGCCTGGTCTACAAGAGCTAGTTTCAGGACAGCCTCCAAAGCCACAGGGAAACCGTCTTGAAAAGCAAAAAAAAAAAAAAAAAAAAAAAAAAAAAAAAAAAAAAAAAAAAAAAAAGCAGTAGTAGATGAAGAATCTCTTTGTTATTTATTCTTGGACATCAAAAAGATTTGTAGAAACTCTAAATGTCTCGCTGGGCGTTGGCAGCGCACACCTTTAATCCCAGCACTCGGGAGGCAGAGGCAGGGGGGACTCTGTGAGTTTGAGACCCGCCCGGGCTATAAGAGCTAGTTTCAGGACAGCCTCCAAAGCCACAGAGAAACCCTGTCTCAAAAAACCTAAAAAAAAAAAAAGAAAAAGAAAGTCCAAATGTCTCTCTTATCCGTAGGTTTGCTATGAGCAGTAAGCTCAGACTGCCAGAGAGTCAGAGTTCTGTTCTTTGTGTGGCATGTTCCTGGCTTTGGATGCCAGATGGCTCTTTATTTTATAGTATTATCCAAGCATCTACTATGTTGCAGCCCTGTGGAATGGGCTGCAAACAAGGTAGTAAACAAAATGAGAGAAAAAAAAGCCTTGCTAGAGCCCATGTCCCTTCTAGTCTTTGAGTTTCTTGCCCCAGACAGGAGAATTCCTGGAGAAGACTTCATCTCTCTCTCTCTCTCTCTCTCTCTCTCTCTCTCTCTCTCTCTCTCTCTCCCATTACCTGCATGCATGTGTGTATCTGGTACTCAAGAGGCCAGAAGGCATTAGATCCCCAGAAGGCATTAGGTTATGACCTGTGGGGTTCTGGGAACTGAACCCATGTCCTCTGGTAAGAGCAGCCAGTGTTCCTTACTGCCAAGCCATTTCTCCAAACCCTATATTTGCCTTCTTTTAGTGGGTGGAGAGGACCGAGCTCAGATCCTCTTGCTTGCTAGGCAAGCACTTCCCAATTAAGCTATCTCCCCAGCTCCTAGATCTGTTCTCAAATAATAATAACTGTTGTTAGCAAAGAATCTTTAACAGTCCTGACAATTTTTTAAACAAGTACATATTTTGTAGCCCAAGCCCTCCCCTAATTCTGGGATGACAGGTATATACCACCTATCTGACACTCATTTTTTTTTTTAAATTGGTAGTACTTGGGACTGACTGTAAATAAGGGTTTTAAGAGAATGGGAGGGCTGGGTGTTACTCAGTAATAGAATTCTTGCCTAGTACACAAGGTTCTGGAATTATTCTTAGCACAATAAAGGGAGAGAGGGAGGGAGAGAAAAAGAATGGGGAGGGGAAGAGAAGGAGAAGTGAAAATGAATAAATGTGAATGAGGATTTTATGAGGATTTTATGGATGAATGAATTTTATTTCCTCGCTGCCGATGGGTTTTCACAACATATTCTCAAGTCTTGGAATAGTGTATAAAATGTATGGAATTAAACTGGGCTGTGGTGGTGTACGCCTTTAATCCCAGCACTCTGGAGGCAGAGGCAGGCAGATCTCTTGAGTTCAAGGCCAGCCTGGAATATAATGGGAGTTCCAGAATAGGCAGGGCTATAAGAATACCCTGTGTGGAGGGAAAAAAAGTATTAAGGAGAAATTTTTTTTGTTTTGTTTTGTTTCTCTGTGTAGCTTTGGAGCCTATCCTGGCACTCTCTCTGTAGAGCAGGCTGGCCTCGAACCTCAAACTCACAAAGAAACACTTTCCTCTGCCTCCTGAGTGCTGGAATTAAAGGCATGCGCCACCAACGCCCGGCTGTTTTTGTTTTTTTGAGACGGAGTCTCTGTTATGTAACTCTGGCTGTCCTGGAGCCAGATAATGTAGACTGTGTGTGCTAACCTCAAACTCACAGAGATCCACCTGCCTCTACTGAGATTAACAGCCTGGACTAACACGTTTGGAACATATGCTGTGTCTTTTTGACATTTGTTTGAATATCCTATACTTGCATCATGTGCTGCATGTCACTTGAGAACTGAGTTCAGTAAGTCACCTTGCTTACTGCTATGCAATTTGTCATTTTTAAGCTAAGATTCTAAGTATTTTATTTTTGGTTTTTTGAGACAGGGTTTCTCTGTGTATCAGTGGCTTTCCTGGAACTCACTTTGTGGACCAGGCTGGCCTCAAACACAGAGCTTCACCTGTCTCTGCCTGTGCTGGGATTAAAGGGATTATATAATTTAAAGGCCATTCTCCCCTCAATGCCCTTGGAAAATAAGTACT